CTTTTCCTTGTTAAAGATGCCTCCTGAGCACTACTTTTAAGATTATCAGCCATGAATTTGGTAATTCTTTTATTCACGAAGAAAGAGATCTGTTTCCCTGAGTTCACTGGGCAAGTTGGAGAAGAAAAAGGGAGGAAGTGACTTAAAAAGGGATGGGGTTTGTGTGAGAAAGAAATTACCTGACCTTTAATTAGCTGAGCTGTGAATGAGGAAAGACTAAGAAAAAAGTGGAAACTAGTGGAATGGGCACAGTCCCCTAGGAGGAAGGAAGAAGGGAGATGATAGGGAAGAAATGTATGGGTTCTGAGACTTTTCTTTGTCAGCCATTAAGCTATTGGCCCAGGAAAGTCTTGGTTGCTGTCCAACACAGGTGGAGAGAGGGAAAGGGAATAAAAGATAGCAAAAGGTGAGGAAGTAGTATATAGCTAGCCAGCTATTTTCACATGTATTTGGAATGTCTAGAGCCTTTAAACTCACTCTAGCTCTTGCCACCCAGACTTCCTAGCTAAGTATACTTGAAAACCTGGAAGGGTAGAATAATGGGTGTCACATTGCTCCTGCAATCTCCTATATTCCGTCATTGCTTGCTCACATATATTGAGCCTTGATTACCCAGAGAAATAAATAGCATTAATACCCAGGAGTTATGAGTTTCTTAGAACATTCTAGGAGATAGACCCAAATAATTGGGGAAATATTAATTGTGGATAGACCAAGTCAGTATAACAAATATGATATATATATATATATGTACATAAAATACCAAAATTAGTTTACTTAGTCATTGCCACACTAATCAAACTGCCAAAGGATTACTTTGTAGAGCTAGGAAAAAATGACAAAATTCATCTGAAGAAACAAAAGGTCAAGAATATTAATGATAAATTATGATGATAAATTATAAATGACACTTGATAAATTTTGATAAATAATGATAAATTATACATGATAAAAATACTGCTGCCACCCATTATTCTACCCTTACCAGTTCTGAAGTACACTTAGCTAGGAAGTCTGGGTGGCAGGGGCTAGAGAGAGTTTAACCACTCTAGACATTACAAATATGTGTGAAAATAGCTGGCTGACTATATGCCACTTCCTTACCTTTTGCTGTCTTTCATTCCTTTTCCCTCTCTCCACCTGTGTTGGACAGCAACCAAGATTTTTTTTTTTTGGCCAGCAGCTCAGTGGCTGAAATAATAAAAGAAAAAAAAATGGGAAGGAAGAAACCTAGCACTTCCAGATCTCAAGATCTATCTTTTATTCCTTTCCCCTCTCTATAAAGCAATAACCGTCAAAATAATTTGGTATCGTAATAAAATAGAGAGGCTGCTTAGTCAATCATCAGTTAGTCAACAAACATTTATTAAATGTTTACTATGGGCCAGGCATTGTGCTAAGTTCTGGATCTGTGAAACAGATCGTACAACATATAAAGATACACACGACATAGAAGATAACAAATTTGGTAGCCTATTAGATTGTAAGCTTCTCAAGGCCAGGGACTGTCTTTTGCCTCAGTGCTTAGGTTTAATTGTTGTTCAGTCGTGTCTGACTCTTTGTGACCCCATTTAGGGTTTTCTTGGCAAAGATCCTGGAGGGGTTGGCCATTTCCTTCTCCAGGTCATTTCACAGATGAGGTAACTGAGGCAAACGGGGTTAAGTGACTTTCCCAGGATCACATAGCTAGTAAGTGTCTGAGGTCAGATTGGAACTCCGATCTTCCTGACTCTAGTCTTGGCACTCTGTCCACTGGGCCACCTGGCTGAAAGCCCCAAGTGGGCTCATGGAGTCAGAAATGACTGAAAAATGACTGAATAATTTGTAGCACATTACAATAAATAGTGCTTGATTAAGGTCAAAGACTTCAGCTACTGATGTAAGGATTCTGTATTTGAAAAAATAACGTTGGGGAAGCTAGATGGTAGTCTAGCAGAAATTAGGGTTAGACTAACACCTCATACCATGTTAAAAGATAAGCTAGAAATGGAAATGGATCTATGGCATAGATGTCAAAGGCCATATCATAAATTAGGAAAACAAGGGAGAAATTTTCTTTCAGATCCGTAGATAAGGGGAAGAGTTAATGACTGAAAAAGAGACAAGATCACAGAAGAAAAAAGGACAAATTTGATTACATGGAATGAAAATGTTTTTGTATAAGCGAGACCAATAACACTAAAATTAGAACAGAAACAGTTAACTAGGGGCGAATATTTTTAAGGTTTCTCTGATAGAGTTCTCATATCCAAGATTTGGCATTGATCCACATTTATAAGAGTAAGAGCCACTAGATAAATATTCAAATAATATGGGTGGGTGGTTTTCAAAGAGAGAAATTGAAGCTGTTCTATGAAAAAGTGCTCCAAATCACTAATAATTGGAGAAATGCAGATTAGCATAACTCTAAGGTTTTGCCTTACACTCTCCAGTTGGTACAGATGGCAAAAACCGAAAATGACAAATGTTGGAGAAACTGGAGGAGAGAGGAAAGCAGGGAGGGCAGGAATGAGAGGGATTGAAAGAGCTGTTACAACTTGCAGGGCGTGTTCCATCCAAGGCAAGGTGATTTTTGAGGTGACCAGGGAGTAGGCAGGGAAGAGCAGCAGATGGACTCCATTTGGATTCTAACACATCGTTATCCCAAGGGATACAATAGGAATTGACGAAATAAAGCGGGTAAGAGCAACTAGACTCGCCCCCGTAAATACAGGCAAATGTATTTTAAAGGTATTTAAGGATTGGTTATTAAATGCCTCAGAAGGCTCCTAAAAGAATTGAGAAGATGACAGGGTTAATTTTTAAAGAAGTGACCATAAGAATCAGTCCATAAATACCTACTGGCCCACAGATCTAATTTCTTTTAAATCTTTTTGAAAGTGGTCTCTGCATATACTGAAGATATCCTTGATGAAAATAGGAGAAGGGAGCAGGCAGGCTTTTGAAAGGGATTGCTTATAGCAGACACATCTTCACATTCACACAGTTGCTGAGAGGTGGAGATAATACAAGATCCCATTATGTGTATTCTTTTAGGCAGCTAGCTAGGTGGCACATAGAAGAGAATGCTGAGCTTGGAGTCAGGAATACCTGAGTTCAGAGTCAGCCTCTAGGCATTTACTAGCTGTGTGGGTAAGTCATTTCACCACTGTCTGCCTCAGTTTCCTCCACTCTAAAATGGGGATAGTAATAGTACCTGCCTCCCAGGGTTGTTGTGAGGGTCAAGTGAGATAATGTTTTTAAAGCGCTTACTGCCTGGCACATGGTAGACACTTAAATGCTTGTTCCCTTCTCCTTTATTACAAAGAAAAAACATTTAACAAAACACAAACCTAAATGCTACCTTCCAACAACCTGTGCCTTTCCACATGTGTTAAGGTAATCGAAAATTCTTTGACAGTTTCAACCATAGCTTTGTTCAGTGCCTCTGTCGTTATTAAGCAAGACATACAATAGACAGATCTGTTCATCAAAGGTATTTGTTGATGTCATGGAGAATTTCCTAGGCAGAGTTCTTAGGTATAGATGGTGAAGTTCCATCTTAAATGTTCTTTTTTTTTTTTAAATGTTCTTGATTATGATGATTATACCAAACTCTGGAATGGTATAAGGGGCTCCGAAAAGGGATCCACAGCAACTCAAAAGAGTTTTGTTTAACAATCCACATTGGAAGGGGCAGCTAGGTAGTGCGGTGGATAGAGCAGTGGCCCTGAAGTCAGGAGGACCTGAGTTCAAATCTGACCTCAGACCAAACACCTGACACTTAACTAGCTGTGTGACCCTGGGCAAGTCACTTAACCCCAATTGCCCCCCCCCAAAAAAACACAAAAAACCCCACAATCCACATTGGAAAAACCAAGTGGATGATGAATACCAAATGTCCAAGCTGTGACAGTGCTGTGTAGTTAGATGGACAGGCACTGCATGTGGTCAGTGAGGCCCAGAATAGTGGAGGAGGAGGATAGCATGGATCTCAGGATCAGATTAAATAATGTATATTAATCTATGTAAATTTTGGCTTTTATTATTCTTTGAAAAATTGAGCAGCCTGTTAAGTGATTTTCCAAACCTGTCTTTTGAACTGATGGCAAAACCAATTTATTTAACACTGATCGGAGTGCAAGGAGTGATATTAAAGGCATTTAGAAGGACTCATGTAATTAGAAAAGCAGGTGGGCAAGTCATAGATTAAGCTGAAGGTGTAACAAAAAGATGGACAGACCATATTGAATTCATTCTCTTAAATTTTTTTTTTAAAAGAATGGTTCCAGTGAGTTGGGTAGATACTCTGTGGTGGATTTATGGGAAGAATCAGTTGGGACAACAAGGCATGGGTAGGTTGGGGTCTGCACTATTGAGAACAGCACCCATAGCAATAAGATTGTGGGTCCATAGGACTGCACAAAGTCAGAGAATCATAGATTTGGAATTGGGAGGGTCTTTAGAGATTGTACAACCACCTCATTTTACAGAAGAGAAAAACTGAAAGCCATGGAAGTTAAATGCTCTGCCCCAGATTACAGGTACTTGTGTATGTCTTTTCTTTTATCGAAGGCAGGTAGGCAGCCTCAACTAGCAAATGCTGGACTTAGGAGTCAGGGAGACCAAAGTTCAAAGCATACTTCTTCTTTATTAACCATTTACCTCATTTTCTTCATTGTGAAATGGAAATAACAACAATACTCACCTCTCAAGGGTATTATGAGTATCAAATGAGATAATGTACAGTATGTACTTTGGAATCACAAAGAATTATTTGTAAACATATTATTTTTACAAAATAATAATTTGTAAATCCCTTGAAAGCAGGGTCCATGTCCTATTCTTACCTTATTATTTTAATTTATTTAGACTTTTTCTTTGGTAAGCTATTTGATTGTACTAATTATATGTTCTCTACTATATTCATTATGCATTTAATATAGGTGCTGATACAGTTTAAACAGACCTTTTTATTTTGTTTTTCTTTTTTTTGTTTTCTACTCATTTTTCATCATTAGGAATGAATTGAAATCCCTGGTAGAAGAGAAATTTATGAGTGAGGGGATACCACAAAGAATGCTGTGAAGGTGGTAGAAGGACCACCAGAAGTCAGAGGACGAGAGCTGGTATGAAACTTTATTAACTTTAGTTCTGTAGTTAAATCCTTCCGTGGGAATTGCCCTACGGTTGTGCTGTTAAGTTATTGTTATTGTTATGTGAGGCTTAATTCTTTGTAGCTATACATATGACCTAAAAGAAAGGTAGGAATCAGAATGAGTTGTTTTCATTTCTGTCACTGTGTTCTATGTTATTCTAAGCCCATGGGACTACAAGTCTTGGAAATACATTCATATTAGGCTCTGGTATAGTATCTCCCTTGAGTTATGGTTGACCCCATATATATATATGAATTATAGCAGTTGCTCAGGGCATTGCTGCATTTAGAACCTTGCCTTACTCCTAAAGAAGCCAGTGTTGGTGCTGTATGACCCTCCTCTGTCTGTTGTTGGAAAACTTGTGAGAATCTAAAAGCCTTAGCCCCTCCCCATATCCTGGAGCCCTGCCTTTCTCCTTTCCTCACACACAAATGCCTTTATGGGAAGATTGAGACTGGAGCCCTTAGTAGTATGAGAGGCCATCTTTTGATTCTTGGGACAAAAAGTGGGGAAATACTTCACTGGAGTGCAGAGGGTGTTCTTGGCTTTCTTGGAACTTGGAAAATATTTTCAGCAGCAACAGTATCAGCAGACAAATACTTATGGAGTATCTATACTGCAGTGGTCTACGAGAGACTAATAAACTGGTTTGGAAGTTTGGTTGGGAGTCGGTTGGAAGAAGAAATGCTGAGTTAGGAATTGAACCTGAGAAAAACCATGGAGTACTGGTTACCCAGAAGACCTGGGTTTATCTTTCTTGGACTCTGTTTCCTCTTCTTTAAAAAGAGAGGGTCAGATTGGGGAAATCTTTGAGGTCTTTGCTTGCTCTGATATTCTGTGATTCTTTATTGAGCTTGAGTGGGTGACGAGATATTTACATAGAGATATCCAGCAAGTGTTTGGAACTCCAGTCTGTTCAACATACTGTCAAATCAGCAAGCATTTATTAAGTGCCTGCTATGTGCCAGGTGTTGTGCTAAGCACTGGGGATACAAAGAAAGGCAAAAAATAGCCCCTACTTTCTTCCTGTTGTTGTTTTAAAATTAGTGTTTCTTTTTAAAATTCAATTTTTAAAAAAATTTTGAGTTCCAAATTCTCTTCCTCCCTCCTACCTTATTAAGAAGGCAAGAAAAATTACATCAGTTATACATGTAAAATCATTCAAGACATATTTCCATATTAATCATGTTGCAAAAAGAAAGTAAAAAATTATGCTTCAATATGCAATCAGTTCTTTCTATGGAGGTGGACAGCATTTTTCAGCAAAAGCCTTTTGAAATTGTCTTGGATCATTGTATTGATATGAATAGCTAAGTCATTCTTAGTTGATCATTGTACAGTATTGCTGTTACTCTGTACGATTTTCTCCTGGTTCTGCTCACTTCACTTTGTATTAGTTGATATAAGTCTTCCCAGTTTTTTCTGAAACCATCCTCCTCATGATTTCTTACAGTACAATAATATTCCATCATAATCATATTCCACAACTTGTTCAGACATTCACCAGTTGATAGGCATCCCCTCAATTGCCAATTCTTTGTCATCACGAAAAGAGCCACTATAATTATTTTTGTACTTATAGAACATTTTTCTTTTTCTTTGATCTCTTTGGGATACAGACCTAGTAGTGATATTGCTGAGTCGAAGAGTATGCAGTTTTATAGCCCTTTGGGCATAGTTCCAAATCGTTCTCCACAATGGTTGGATCAGTTCACAACTCCACCAGTAGTGCATTAGTGCCCCTATTTTTTCCCCTCCAGTATTTGTCATTTTCCTTTTCAGTCATGTTAGCCAATATGATAGATGTGAGGTGGTACCTCAGAGTTGTTTTTATTTGCATTCTGTAATCAGCAGTGAATTAGAGCATTTTTTCACATGACTTTAGATAGCTTTTATTTCTTCTGAAAAGTGCCTGTTCATAAACTTTTACCACTTATCAATTTAGAAATGACTCATTCTCATAAATTTGATTCAGTATCAAAAATAAATGTATTACCAATGAAAATGAAATTAAAGCAAATATTTAGGAGCCCTTTTGCCCAATTATATCCCAATAAGTCTGACAATCTAAATGAAATAGATGAACATTTAAAAAACTGTACATTGCCCAGATTAACAGAAGAGGAAATAGAATATTTAAATAACCCTATCTTAGAGAAAAAGAAATTGAATAAGCCATCAATAACTTCCCTAAGAAAAAAATCCCCAGAATCAGGTGAATTCACAAGTGAATTTTACCAAACATTTAAAGAACAACTAATTCCAATATTACATAAACTATTTGGAAAAATAGGCAAAGAAAGAATCCTACCAAATTCCATTTATGACATAAATATGGTGCTGATGCCTATACCAGGAAGAAAAAAAAAACAGATTAAAAAAACTATAAACCAATTTCCTAGTGAAAAGTAACCAAAAAATTTAAATAAAATACTAACGAGGAGATTGCAGTGATATATATTACAAAGACGATACTCAATGACCTGGTGGGATTTATACCATGAATGCAAGGCTGATTCAATATCAGGGAAACTATCCTGACCTTTTCTTGGCTCTGCCACTCCAGAAATCAATTTGAGGTGTTATGTTAAAGTTTTTTTGGAGAGGAATATTGGGAGAGTTTAGCTGAGTTGCAGTCTCTATTCTGCCACCTTGGCTCTGCCCCTCCAGTCCCTGCTTTCAAGGGGTTCACAGCTCAGTGGGGGAAACAATAGGCAAACTACTATGTACAAACAAAATATATACAGGATAAATTGGAAATAATTTCAGGGAAAGCACTAAGATTAAGGAGGACTGAGAAAGTCTATGTGTATAGTACTGATTGGCCATGGGGATAAAAAGATGACCAAAGACATAAATTGCCCTCAAGTTATTTATAATCTGTGCTTGGAGGATGTGGAAGTTATCCAAGTAGGGGTAATCTTTGAAACCCTGAGAAGCAAGGAACTCTGAGGGAGTGAGGCTAGATTAAGATCAGTGAACTGAGCCATGGGCAATACCTACAGTTAGGCCAGAGGAGAAAGAAGCCAAGCCATTAAAATAGAGAGATCAGAGACCCTCCTGTGTCTCCTTAGCTCTTACCCTGGGAAAGATTATCTGTTCAGAAGAATGTCCTTGTAAAGAGACTGAGAAGTCCTGAGGTGAGTACCTTAAACACGTTTCATCTCTCAACCAATTTTTTTTTTTTACTATGACTGGCATGGTAGTTTGCTGCCCATCGTTCTGCTCAGCATACCTGTGACTTTTCAGCTGTAGAATGCCTAGGCTGGAGCTCCTTTCCCTGACCACTTCCACTCCTTGCTCCTTCACATCCACCTATGTCAGACCTTTATCCCATTTTTCCTTAACTTTCCATTGCAACCTCAAGAACTCACATTCTATCAAATGAATAAGCAAAGACAAAAGCATTTATTCATTCCCTATTTTGTGCCAAGCACTGTACTAAGCTAGGGATGCAAATAGAAAAGCAAGATGGTCCCTGCCCTCAAGGAAATCATGCTGTAATTGGGAGAGAAAACACACTTAACAGAATGCGTGAAAAGGCCCATTGGCCTTCCTCCGGAAGAAATAGAGTTGACGACTCCCATTTCATCCCACTGGTGTGGGCAGTCCCTCTGTTTGGCGTTCAGAGCCCTTTGTAAACTAGGCCCCTCCCCTACCTTTCCATTCTTCTCAAATCTTGCACCCCCTCGCATACTTATCAGTTCAGTGATGCTGGCTTCCTTGTTAATTTCTCCATTTCTCTGTTCTGGGCATTTTTACTCCCTGTCCCCCATGCCTGGAATGCTTTCCCTCCCTACCCTCCCTCCTTCAAGTGCCAGCTAAAATCCCACCTTCTGCAATCCCAATCCTTCTTAATTCTAGTGTCTTCCCTCTGCTGATTATGTCTCACTTATCCTGCATTTAGCTTGTTTGTAAGTAGTTGTTTGCATGTTGTCTCCCTCGTTACAGTGGGAGCTCCTCATGGGCAAGGACTGACTTGTCTTTTGCCTTTTTTTTGTATCCCCAGTGCATAGCTCAATGCCTGGCACATAGCAAGGCACTTCATAAGTGATTATTGACAGAATGATTAATCAAGCACCTTGAGTGGGTTCTTGGCTGCCCGGCTAGGGGAAGAGGGAAAGAGAGGTTGGCCAGCCTAGGTGGGGGTTGTATTATTAACAAACTGTCATATAGACTCTGTCTTTTCCCTGGAAAGTACTTTGTTAAGTTTGTATTTTTTTAAATTAGTGTGCATGTTGCTTCCCCCCAGTAGAATATAAACTCCTTGGAAGCAGGTACTGTTTCATTTTTGTCTTTGTATCCCCAGCACCTAGCACAAAGCCTGGCACATAGCAGGTGCTTAATAAGTGATTGTTGTGGGGCAGCTAGGTGGCTCAAATGGGTAGAGCACCTGCCCTGGATTCAGGAGGACCTGAGTTCAAATGTGACCTCAGACACATAACACTTACTAGCTGTGTGACCCTGGGAAAGTCGCTTAACCCCATCACCTAGCCAAAAAATAAATAAATAAATGATTGTTGAATTGAAATGGATTGAAGAACAAGAACCCTTGTCTGGTATTACAGAACCAAAGCAAGATAGTGCTGTAGAAACCAAGAGAGGAGAAAGTTTCAAGAAGGATAAATTAGGTAACACAGAGAAGTCCAAAAAAATCAGTGTTCTTTGCCCTAGAAATTAACTTTGCTAGAGGAGAAGAAAAGGGTAAATAGAAACAAAATATCACTTTTCTGGGTTCGACAAACACCATGATGGAGACTGGCTATTAGAGACTATTTGGCAGTTTCTAATAAAGCATTTAAACAAATAAACAACTTTTTAAATTTCACTCAAGGCATCTCTAACATCAGTACATTATATTCTTAAAGAGATAAATGGCTGTTGTTAGCTGGTGATGGCTATAAAAAGAGGCATATGCCATAGTAAAGTGTGTGTTCTGTACACAACACATCCGTGATATTTGCTGTCTTGGCCATAGAAGCATGCCTTGCCTCTTAGGGAAACTAGCAAACATGTTCCAATTCCTCGTGGTGCTAGACACCTGGTGTCATTTAGATAGCACCTGTTCTCTGCTGTTCAGTCTCTCACCCGTCATGATCTACACATTTTTATCAGTGAAACTCAGGCACGTTTGAGATTCTGGATTGAGCCCAGATCTCAGTTATCTTTTACAGTCTCTCAAAAATTAGTGTGAAAAGTAAATGTGAGCATCACTTTGCATTTTTCATAGCCTCTTCTCTGTCATGTGCTCAAAAATAACTCTCTGATACATTCTTCACTCTGGGAAAAAAATTTATAGACACACTATTTGTTGTATTTACAGACTAGGAGATTAAATGTAAAACAAGTGGAATATGGGGTCATATCGGAAAATAAATCTCAGTTATTTCTTTTAACTCGTCTGTTGTAAGGATTTATAGTCCGGCCTCTGATAATTGTGCCCTGTCTAATCCTAGGCAAGTCATTATATCTCTGTGTCTTGGGTGGTTTCCCAGATTTATCTACTAACTTGATTGAGGGAGTTTCCACTTGAGGAATTTCCCAAGTTGAGGTGATCACAGATACTTTGTATTTTCCTATGTATGATTTTATGGAATTGTGCTGCATCAACAGTGTTTTTATTTGAACAGTTATAAAACTGTGTTCCATATTTCTATTTGTATTTATCAGAATTCTTTTATTTAACCCTGTTGTTTATTGAGAATCTACCATGCAAATAACAAGGAATACAAAAGAAATATAGGACAAAGTCTTTGACCTCCAAGAGCAAACTGCTGTATTTAGGAATAAAGGGTACAGGAAGCCCTTAAATCTTTCTTTAATGGAAAATTTACAGAAAAACAAAGAAAAGAATTGCAGAGTGGGAAGACATTGATGGGCTGCAATTTGTACCAGTGGAGAAAGTACCAACACAAGTGAGTTGACCAGTCTATCAGATAATTACTAATGAGGTATTGATGACTCAGTTATTCTATGTCCATGACATCTTCTGTCTTTCTGTCTTCCTTTTCTGGTTTCCCTAGCTCTAGAGCTTCCACTATATGTAGTCTCCAGGCAGCTCAGTTTTGGAATACTAATACTTTGTATTTCAGTAGTGCTTTGCAATGTAATGTTACTATTAATGTAGCACTTTATAGACACAGTATCCTAAATGCATTATTTTATATGATTTTCATAAAAATCCTGCTAAATAATTTTGTAAACAATAAACTCCCTGTGTTTTGTTTTGTTTTTTAAGGCAGTTGGGGGTAAGTGACTTGCCCAGGGTCACACAGCTAGTAAGTGTCAAGTGTTTGGTCTGAGGCCAGATTTGAACTCAGGTCCTCCTGACTTCAGGGCCGGTGCTCTATCCACTGTGACACCTAGCTGCCCGTCCCTGAGGGTTTAGTAATGTCTACTGTGTGCTAGGTGGTAGAGATACAAAGACAAAAATTAAATAAACATAAGCTTCTTGAAGGCAGGAACTGTCTTAAAGACAACATGGATGCATCTATATACAAAATAAGTCAAAGGTAAATTTCAGAGGGAGACACAAGTATGGAGTGGATCAGGAAAGTAATACCAGAGCAGTTGATGGAGAGCTTTGAAGTCTAGGGGGAGAAGTTTGGACATATTCAAATAGGCAAAAAAGATAATCATAGGTTCCTATACAATATATAATTTTTTTCACTGCTTAGAACAATGCCTGGCATGTATTAGAAACATAAGAAATGCTTATTGACTTGTTGACTTAAGTTGATGGGGGAGTGATGTAATGAAAGTGATATTTTCAGAAGATTCATCTGGGGGCTGTAATAAAAGGAGTTGGGAGAGATTGGAAGCAGGAAGATAAATTAGGAGGCTGTTGTAATCCATAATGTAATAAGAGATGAATAGAGTAAGAATGGAAAAGCATTGGAAATTTTTGAATGATATTTTGAAGGATGATTTAGCAGGAGGTGGGTACACAGCAGTAAAAGTGACTCTAAAGTTTTATTTTGGGGGTGCCATACATGTACAAATTCCAGTGGCTTCCTATTGCCTCCGGGATCAAATACAAAATGCTCTGTTTGGCATTCAAAACCCTCTATAACCTAGCCCCCTCCTACCTTTCCAGTCTTCTCACACACCTACTTCCATCTAGTGACACTGGGCTCCTGGCTGTTCCACAAACACACAGTCTATCTCTCAGTTTTAGGCTGTTTCTCTGGCTGCCACTCATGCCTGGAATGCTTTCCATCCTCAACTCTGATTATTGACCTCTCTGGCTTCTTTTAAGTCTCAACTAAAATCCTATCTTTTACAGGAGTACTTTTCCCAACCCCACTTAATTCCAGTGTCTTCCCTTTCTTAATTATTTCCTACTTATCCTGCATATATCTTTCTTTGTATATATTTATTTGTATGTTGTCTCCCCCATTAGACTGTAAGCTCCTTGAGGGTAGAGACTGTCTTTTGGCTCTTTTTGCATACCCAAAATGTTTATTGAATGAATGAATGAATGTAAAAGGATTGTTATTAAGTATGAAATAAAGCTAACAAATAACAAAGAGGTAAAATGGTATATACAGCAATGAAGCTAAAGAATAACTTAGAGATGTTGAAATATATATAATACCTTTGGCCTTTCTAAATATATACTTTTTTAAACAGCAAAATGATAGTAATCAAGTTTTATACATGACAGTGGAAACTCCCTTCTTGTTTGGGGATTTCTGTGCTCAAGAGAATTCCATGTGTGGAATTCTGTGTCTGATTATGGAATCTCAAAAGTTGTTGAAAAGTAAAGTCTTGGAATAGAGGCCTATATTTTATAATGTATGGATTAGTTAAATATAACCTAAATGTAGTGCAATAAAAGTAACTTGGTTGTGAGATCAATGGCACCCTGGAAGAAAAGACTATTATTTCTCAATTTTATTTTTTAAAATGATTTTTTAATTATTTTTTCAATTACCAAGGATTTTTTTCCTTCACCCCCTCTTCTGAATAAAATCCTTGTAACCAATATACAGAGTCAAACAAAACAAATTTCCATATTGCCTACAGCCAAAAATGTGTGGTTCATTCTGCATAAAGATCATTATTTCTAAAGAATCCACAAAACAAAAGTTCCAATTCATATTGAAATGGCAACTTTTATATCCTTCTTACAACTTAAAATTCACGTTAATCAGAAAACTAAACATTCCATTTCAACTGTGGAAGTCTATAAAATCTTTCCTTTACCCATAGCATGAACAGTAACATAGCACATAATTTTTGTCCTGTAGGTCAAATGAAAATAGTAATAGGGAGCATCAGATTTAGGTGCTGAAATTAGTAATAATCCACCAGAATTGGGTAATAGATAATAGACTCTAGAGCTGGAAAATTCTTTAATAGTGACTCAAAAGTCTTTAATCTTTGAGCTTATATATTTTTAGCAACTATTAGTGAGAAACATCTTTCAAGTTTGGGGTGAAGGGAATTTCATTATAATTAATTTTGGGGAGCCCCAGTTCTTGATGTAATGTGTACCTGAATTCATCAAATTATTTCTCTTCCTCTGACTTTTTTTTATTAATTTATTTTGATTTATCAACAGTCACTTCCCATAAGCTTTAGAGTTTTAAATTTTTCTCCCCCTCTGCCTTCTTTTTTTTATCCTTAGTATGGGGACAAATAAGAAAATTTTTAAAAATGACATATGTGGTTTAACTTTATGTGAACTGGTAATTTTCAATGCTGAAACCTACTCCTTGGTATAGGATTTATCAGCATTAGGTAACAAACTAAATTTGATCTAGGTATGTCCTAGGAAGTGCTGTAAGACTCATTTTTGCCCTGTACCAGCTCTGCAAACTTTCAGAAGCTTAACTAAGTAATCAGTCCTCCCTCCACAACCTGACAGTCTGTAACAAACCAATCAGTACCTGTTGCCCCTATAACATGTCTGTGTTTAGTTTCTTTCCTCCTTCTTGGGATATCAGGCCACATCCAGCTGCAGCAGCTGCGCTGTCCTTCATTTCAAAATATGCCCTCTCTTGTTGCAGCTTCTGTCTTTCAAAGGAGATGGGATGGTGATCTCTCACCACCCTGTCTTCCATGGACTCTTCTCACACCAGGATCCAGATTGCTGAAGCTGGCCATGGTGAGGCTGGATTTGACATATAGACAGACCTCCATCATGATCTCCAGTTGTCAGGGCAACGGCAGCATTCTCTGTAAGTATTTAAGCAGATACAGTACAACTTGAAACCTTCTCTGTTCTCTTAGGATCACCATCACTAGTTCCCAGGTGGAACGGGAAAATTCCCCCACCCAGATGTTAACAGGAGAGCTATTTTTGTGTCTTTGGGACAGAAAATGAAGACAGGTGGGAGGCCAAACCTGCTTTGTGGCAGTCAAGAGAAAACATTTTTGTTTATTATTCTTTTTCCCTGTGCCGTGAGTCTTTGTCTCTGTATCCTGGCATGAGAAAAAGGACAGTCGATAATCTGTTCTCCACGGAAAAGACTTGGCGATGGTTCTGTTACCTCCATTGAATTACCATTCGCTTTGCCTGTTGGTGATTAAGCCACAATCTCTTTCTCTCTGCCTGGGAATCAAGATGGTGAAAATAAAACTGGCCTACAAAGTCCTAGTAGGAATGATGGTTAGCTAGTGTCACCTGCCACCGTTCCTTCCTCCCACCACACAAAAGTAGTGGGATGGGGAGGGGTGGAGGTCTTAACCTTATGAATCATTGAATTTTAGATCTGTGAGGGACTTCAAAAGTAACTTATTCTAGCTCCCTCTTTTGTGAGGCAATTGGGGTTAGGTGACTTGCTCAGGAAGTATTATATGTCTGAGGCAGGATTTGAACTTAGGTCCTCCTAACTTCAGGGTCGGTACTTTATCCGCTGTGCCACCTAGCTGCCCCTTACCTCCCTCTTTTTCATAGTGCACTGGAGTACATGTCAGTGCCTCTGTCCAGGACTAGAGACTTTTGCCAACTAGTTATGGAATTTTAAGCAAATCACTTAAACTCGCTTTGCTCGGTTAACCTCAGTTTGCTTGCTCTCATCTTGTCTAAAAGATGAGAAAGTTGAGCTCACTGATCTTTAAATTCTAGTTCCTAACATTCTATAAATTCCTGTGAAATTTGGCTCTGAGAAGCACCTGCCCCTACTTCACAGCTGGCCAGTAGCAGAGCTAGCTTTAGAAGGTAGGTTTCCATCCATTTTAGGACTACAGACCTTTTCCTTGGCCTGTAGGTCGGTTCATCCAAGCTTGGTATGTGAGGAATGGAATTAACCCCACCTCCAGACTTGGATATTATAAGGTAAGAAAAGGGTCGCTAGCTAGCTCATCTGATCCTCACAGCAACCCTGGGAGATGTTATTAGAGGTGTTACGCTAGTGGTACAGATAAGGAAACTGAGGCTCAGGGACTTTATGAACTGCTTAAGTTTACATAGCTAGTAAATGTCAGGGGTGGGATTTGAACCCAGATGACCTCTACAAAGGCTTAACAGATAGCATTTTGAGTAAGTATTTATTAAATGAATGACACCAATGATTTAGAGAATCTTTATAGTGGAGTCTCCGACCTTTTCCTATTAAGAAGCTATTTTTAAATTGTATTTTGTCAAAATGAGCTTATTAAAATGCTTAACATAAGTAGAACATAATTGTTAATGAAAGGCCTGCAACAACACAAACAGATGTGCTGACTGACCACTGAATCTGTCTGTCTGTCACGGAATCTCCCCTCTTGCCTTGAAGCTACAGAATTCAAGGCGCTCCCTGCATTTGCCACGTACTTGCTAGTTCCCTTGCCTCATAGCTGCTCACCCCATGTTTGCTCCCACTTTCCTGACGCCATTGGGTCCATCCTCCTCTCTCTGCTGCTACCATGCTGTGGAGCAGCACGTAGATATCTCTCCCTCAGTTAAAGGGGCAGAGAAAAGGATATGAGCTTTGGGATTGCAGAATATTTGAGTTGAAGGCACTTTAGAGGTCAGCTGGTAGATACCATCTCCCCCCTCCTCAGTACCCCTGGCTCTGAGGCCCCTTCCTCTCTCTCATTGGAGACAGTGGAGGGTTCCTCTCAGATTCTTCACCTGAGGAAAGCATCCAGGCTATCTCTTCATTTCCCCTGACTGCACTGGACTTCATCATGCCCCTTGGGTCCCACTCCCCTTTTTAGCTTCTTTTTATGTGTTCTCTCCCACCCTCAGATTGTGAGCTCCTCAAGGGCAGGGATTGTCTGTCTTGTTTTTTGTATCCCAAGCACTAAGCACTGTGTCTGGCATATAGTATGTGCTTAATAAATATTTGTTGACTGTCTGATTTGATGTAGGAAGACCCCTCTAAGCCATCCCTTCCAGGTGGTCATGAAGTAGCTGTGCAGGCACGTCTAGTGACAAAAGATCTCACTACCTCACAAAGCAGACCGTTCTATTCTTGGACAGTTCTAATTATCTAAAAATTCTTCCTTACATTGAGCCAGCATCTGTTATAGTTCTATTATTGCTCTCTTGAGCACTACAATAAAAGTGTAATATCTTTTTCATATGATGGGCCTTCAACTATTTTAAAGTAGCTATTAACCCTCCCCAGCACTCCATTCACTACCTCAACTCCCAATATTTTCCTCTCTAGGTTAAACATCTTCATTTATTTCAACCATCTTCTATATAAAAGTTTCCAAGATCCCTTACCAAAGATTTAAAGTTGGAAGGAACCTAGTCTATCCTAGTTACTCTCTTGTCTTTAAAAAAAAAAAAAGACTTTTGGAGTATTGTACTGATACTCCAAATACGGTCTGAGCAGCTTAGAATGAAGGGAGACTGCAACCTCCCTTGATTTAGATCCTATGTTTCTATTAATTTGGTCTAATAGATTAGGTATTTAGCAGCCAAGTCACACTGTCAGCTTATATAAATAGTTTAAATTTACATAGTAAGATTTAAACATGAAGAATAGTGCTCCTGAGAGATTGGCAGACTTTTGCTCTCCAGCAAAAGGTCCCTAGGAGAGTCTCCATTGGGCCTTTTTTCACTAATTGTCCTTACTGTTAACAATGTTTTGGCAAATGCTCAGTCAGAGCTCTGTGTGTGTGTGTGTGTGTGTGTGTGTGTGTGTGTGTGTGTGTGTGTGTGTGTCTGTCTGTCTGTCTGTCTGTCTGTCTGTCTGTCTGACTGTACTGGACCACTTGTTTGACAACTAGTTCCCTCTGTTCCTTAGGGGGATTACAATCAGATTGTCAAAACAGTCTTATGAGTAATCTTCTTCTTAGCTCTTTGACAGTTATCCAAATGTGTTCCCTCACATGCGGATTTAGTATCTAACAACATAATTCCAAAATATAATTTAAATAAATTCTGTCTGAGTGATACAATAGAACTAATAGCTCTGGTTGGCAAAGTTATTGACGACTTAATCAGCCTGTTTTGTAGAAGTTAAGTGACTTGCCTAGGGCATATAGCTAATTAATGGTAAGACTAGGACCAGAACCTAGGTCTACACCCTCCTCCCAGGGGAAGGATTTGTCCTGGCCTGGCCTCCAAAATTAAAGGCAAAAATCAAGGCAACAGCTCTAGTCCATATGCTCTTTTATAATGTGAATGTACTGTTTATTGGACTGATTAACTATATTTTTATGTTTTATCCTTTGGTTAAAAAATTTTTATCTATTTTTCTAACACATTAATATTTGCTTTAGTGAACTGAATACATCTCATCATTATCAAAAGTAGTGAGGGAGATAGAAAAGCCTATATTTTTCACTATTGTTAGTGAGCTTTTCATTCCCATCTGCCAAGAAAGCAAAATTCAATATAATCTGCCTCTTTTGCCTAATGTATTTGAAGGTAATTTGTTACAATCTTAAATAGTTTGCATCCTCTTACTATTTTTGTTGAGACATTTAATATCTTTATAATACTCATCTTTAGTGGTCCTCACCTAATTTCTGCCTTTTGTGCCTGTCTTAAATGTCCTTCAGGTTCTTAGTTCTAGGTCTCACCAAATTAATCTCATTACCCTTCCTGTGCCCTCTCCAATAGAACATCAAGTCTTTACTGTCCATTTCGACATTTAATTATGTTTGTTTTAAAATATAAATTTCAAATGACTGCATTGAATAGCATCATTTAGTCACTTTGAAGAAGAAATCAAAACACTACTTCTAATAGAGTAATAAGAAACCCATAGTAGTGTTCTGTATTTGTTTAATGTGCCTTAATTGTTTTCTCATGAGTAGAATCATAGAATCATGACATTTTAGAGAGTAAAGGACCTCAAAGCAATCGTAGTGCAAACCAGACCTAAAAGGCAATCTACTTTAGATCATCTCTGAGAAGCCATTATCCAGCCTTTGCTTGAAGACCTCCCAGGAGGGAAGACCTGTTTTACCCTCTAGGATAGGCCATTCGACTTTGGCAGCTCTAATTGATAGCAAATTTTTCTTTCTGTAAAACTAAATCTCTTTGCAGTTTTTCCCCTTGTTCCTGCTTCTGAATAGAACAAACAATCCATCTTGCAAATGACGAGCCTTCAGATACTTGGAGCCAGCTGCCCTTTTCACCTCCTGAGCCTTCTGCTCCATAGATTAAGCATCTCCCTTTGGTCTTTGTAGATGTAGCATGCTCTCCAGTCTCATCGTCCTGGTCCTCTGCCAGCTTGTCAATGCCTGTTTCAAAGTGTGGTGCCCAGAAGGGAATGTAATTCTCCAGTTTCTTTGGGACTGGCACAGAGGGCAGTGACTCTGTCACCTTCCTTGTTCTGGACGCTGTTCTGCCCACCTTGGATGATAGCAGCAGTTGTTCAGCTATCAGCTGCGCTGTTGAGTCACTGAGTTTGTGTAGTCTATTTAGAAACAAACAACGACATCTTTTTGACAGGAACTGTTGGCCAATCACACTTAATTCGTTCAGCCTATAAGCATGCATTACATGCCCAGGCCCTGTGCTAGGTACTTGGGATACAAAGATGGAGACACAAGGCCCTGCCTACACGAAGCTTATGCCTTATTAAGGGGAATTAACATGGACAAAGTTAAGTAAATTTAAAAATATGTCAAAAGTAAGTTCGATCAAATTTTTGACAGATGGGAGATGAGAGTGGGAAGAACACTAGTATGCGGGCATCAGGATAGGGAGTGAATAGTTGAATTGTGTCTTTAAGGAAGGCAGTATTTTTTTGAGGGCTGGAGGGACTGCTTGTTCAAGTAGCATGGA